TTTTTTTTTTTTTTTTTTTTTTTTTTTTTGATAAAAGCACGTTGTGCGTTACTCTCTCTTTCTCTCTCTTTTCGTCATATCATTCGTATATTACAATCTATGAAATAATTTTCTTTGTTTTTCTTTGTTCTATCGTGCACACTTGTTACGTATTAATGTTAGATTAACAATAACGTACTTTTTAATTAACAATTTCTATTAAACTTCTTATCGTACGTACGTAAAAATTTGTTTTTTACATTTCATACGATTGAATAAATTTTATTATTCTCTCTCTCTCTCTCTCTCTGTTTCACTCTTTGTCTATTATTCTTCAACTATAATAAGTTTGAAATTGCAACGATCTATACTTGACACATCGATTGATGTCAAAATTATCTATAACCCGTGTATTTAAAAAAAACCAAAAAAACACACGTATCTAATTAAAGATCTAATTAAAGATCCAATAATCCTAATTGATCATAATAAGGAATCCTCTTGCTTATTACTTTACGATAAATATCAGTTTTATATGCTGTATCGTCATAACTACCATCAGTTGACATAATCTCATTGAGATCTTTAGCTTCTTTTTTATCTATAAGTACCAACGGTAGAATAGCAAACGAACTTATCATAGCAACTATCTCATAATCTTTGATTTGCTTTTGTAATTTTTCCATACTCGGTGGTTGGGTTTTGCAATTCAATTGTTTCATCGTGTTACACAATGTTGTATAATATTCGTTTATCAAAGTGTCCTTTTTATTTTCATAAACGTCATCGTTAGGACTTGTACTAAGAAAATATTGCAAATCTAATGCAGGTGATGTATAAGTACACATTTGAAAATCCACCTGTAACAAACACCATAGCATAAAATTGAAAAAAAAAACGAAAATCGATCGATATAAAAAGATTCAATTGAATTGTAAATGATGATGATGATGATGATGATGAAATCTGGTGCTACGTTGAAAAGTAGGATGGGAGGATTGGTATTCGTGTTTAGGAAGTCGTCACTCGGGTCTAAAGATCTATGTATGTGTTCGTATTTATGTGTCCTATCTCATTCTCTCCTTTTGCATTCTGTTCTCTTCAATCGCGAAGGACAGACGGACAGGTTCCTTCCGGGTGTACACCTAAACGCGATCGAATCGAATCGAATTTATTGCATTATTCATAACGCGTGACAATACGAAGGGATCGTCTTCCCTTCCCTTCCCTTCCCTTCTCTTTCCTTCCCTTTGACATCTCATTTCAGAACATTTTTACCTTTCGTTATAAAGAAGTTCACCTTCTTCTGTGAACGTGGTAAAAGATCGCGAATAATTCTCGATAACAATTGTCTGTAAAATCTAAACCACCCCCTTTTCTTTTCTGGTTTTAAGATTTATTTCTTTTTTCCATCATAAAAAAAAAAAAAAGGAAATAAAGTTACATTGAAATTTTGTCAATATCTTTCGTTATCTTGTTTATTTGAAAACTACGAAAGCACGATTTTCCAAATATCATTCGATCTTTTTATATCGTCGAATCGTATCATCTTTTTTTCTTTTTTTCTTTTCGCGAATATAGAGAATAACAAAAAAAAAAAAAAAATACGAGCACAAGGACATAGGTTTTCCTTAGCAATGTCGAAGGGAAGGGGTAAATCTTTTGATCTAGATCTAAAAGCCGACGAGAGTTTCCAAACTAGGTGGCCTACATAGAAATAAGAGGAAAATAGCTAGATTTGGTTTAACTCGAACGTTTTCAAAACCTTCCAGCCCTTTCGGTATTTATCCTTACAAGCTACACATATTTATGTACTTTTCTTTCAATTTTTTTTATATTTTTTTCTTCTTTTTCTTTTCCTGTCGTAAAAATTTACGAGAACATCAATCAATTATTTTATGTTGAGAAACTGAACCTTTAACATCGCGATAATAGGAGAATTTGTTTTTGTAATACTTTGACATTTTCTTTTCGAGAGAAAAACGAACATAACTTTAAAATCTCTTTTTCCAATGATCAAAAGAGAAAAGGAAATACGACTGTAATGTAAATCGTATCGTTATAATACTCACAAAGATATGATCGATCGGTTTTCTTTCATCGTTGTAACGAAACATCATATTGTTCACCCAAAAGTCACCATGATTTATAACATTAAATTCGTCATCTCTGCATTTAATTACTTTGCAAGTTTCTGAATAGATTTTGTCCGATAACTTATCGATTTTCTCCGCATATCTGTGAATTAATACAATCAAATTTTCTCTAATTAATATAACAAATTGTTATATACACATAATAAAACAAGTTAACAAGTTTTTCAATCAACAAAATTCATGATAAAAAAACTCACTTCTCAAAATTAGGCCAGTTTTTTACTTGTGCTGCTAAAGATTTTGTTCCTAGTGAAAAGAAACATGTCAATTCTGGTGGATGTCCGCTGTAATATATTCCTTTGGTATAAATTGTTTTATGATTTGGTTCCTAAAAAAAAACATATTGTTAATTAGTAATTTATTTATTTAATTTTGAACAAACAAATGATTTGCTAATTAATTATTGGTTACAATATTCGTGTATCCTTTTATAAGAGTAGGGTGGGAATTAAATTAACGCAAATCCACGGTATAAAAGCCTCCTTAAATTTTCTAAAGAAACAGAAACAGAAAGAGAAAAAGAGAGAGAGACTTGCTCTAACATTGGAACACGTCCAACGATAAAGGGTAATAAGGGATATTGAACTTTAGTTATCCTCCAGGCAGACATTTCGCATGTATGCACTTTGATTCGAGCCACGCGAGTTTTGAACTCCCATTTGCGTGCACAAAATTTGCGGCTTATGATAAGCATTATATATACTCTCCCCCGTCCCCACTTTCCCTCCCCTCCCCCATTTAAGCTGTACCGACAAATCAAACAAATTATTTCGTTCGTGGAATACGTTGACTTTTGTCCTCATCGTCTCTTTCTCTCTCTCTCTCTCTCTCTCTCTCTCTCTCNCACTTTGATTCGAGCCACGCGAGTTTTGAACTCCCATTTGCGTGCACAAAATTTGCGGCTTATGATAAGCATTATATATACTCTCCCCCGTCCCCCACTTCCCTCCCCTTCCCCCTTTTAGGCGTACCGACAAATCAAAACAAATTATTCGTTCGTTGAATACGTTTACTTTTGTCCTCATCGTCTCTTTCTCTCTCTCTCTCTCTCTCTCTCTCTCTCTCTCTCTCTCTCTCTGTCGTAAGACACATTTATCAACAAGAAAAAGAAGAAAAAAAGATTTAGATTCGTTTCGTTGATCTTTTTTTTTTTTTATTTGTTTGTTCCACTAGGTGAAAAATATTTCGATCGATAGATAAGAATAGGATTGTGTTAGTTACCTTTTCGCATACGGCTAAGCTACTAGCGTGAAATCTAGCCAATCCTCGCATAGCCAACAAGGAGTGAGCTAGGTCAAGACCGGCTTGACGATCAGCCATGCGAAATCCAAGAGGTGCTAGATCCTCTATCACTAGAAACACCGGATATTCTTTTTGAATGTAAAAAACCCTTGCCCCTAAAATATGTGCTGGTCCAACTAGGTCATTCATCTTCTTCAACAGGTTCATCATCATCGACATTTCCGTATCGAAGATCTGTGATTTTTCAATCTAAATAGAAATTGATCATTATGTTTTATTTGAAATTTAAATTATTATACATTTGTAACAATAAGTTCATTTTAATATTTATAAATTAGGTGTCACACGTTGTTTGTCCGCAATGAACTCTTAAACTACTGAACCGATTTTAATAAAATTTTGCACACTTTTTGCAGTTTCATCCAATTTGAATAATAGGATAGTTTATATTTCAATTTATACTCGCAATATTATTTTATAAAATTCTAACAGATGACGGTATTGATTGTGAGCCACAGCAACGCGTGACGAGGCAACCCTAGTTTATTTTTTAAAGAGAAAAATACTCACTTACCAAGTCACTTTTCAACGTATCACCACTTGGTGCAACTTTAACAATTAGAGATTTTTTTTTTGTAATTTCACGTTGACCACCTTGTTTGCATGAAATTTCAACCGATAATCTGTACATGTCGCTGGTATAGTTGTCCCCTTTAGACGTTGCCGGTTTTGAAAATATATCGATCACTCTTATCGAATCGTCGTTCTCAGATTTCTTCAAGATATTTTCCACGAACTGTAGGTTCAACCATGACTGTGTCTCTTCGGCCATTTCTGAAATTGGAATTGGATTCGTAGAAATTTTTCATCGACAAATCATTCCTTTTCTTTTTCAGTTGTGTCAGAAAACTCGGAAAACGATTCTTTACAATAACTTATTGTCTCTCACAACTGAAATATATCACTATCATTTTACTTTTCTTCGAATCTTCCTTCTTCCTAAACCAGGGGGTCGGCAACCTGCGGCTCTTTTGATGTGAAGCTGCGGCTCTTTAATTACATTTAAAAATCGTTCCGAATCGATTAACGAGAATTAGGCACCAATGAATAAATAGATTAGTTTATTTTTAATAAAAAAAAAAAACTTTATTTATGCGAGTACTATTTATTGTTGACAAAAACAAATTTTGTGGCTCTTTAAAAAGTTGGAAATTTTGTAAATTGTAATTTTTGGCTCTTCCAACTCAAAAGGTTGCTGACCCCTGTCCTAAACCTAAATACGCGAACCAATTCATTCTTTCGATATCATTTTTTGTTGTATATATATTGAAAGATCTTTTTGTCAAAAGTTTTTTCAATTATCGATGTTATAATTAATAATTCCAACATAAAAAATATATTAAATTGAATTTTTGTCTTCTATAATAGTATGTTAATTTATTGCCATGATCAAATTAGAATTTAAACGTTAAACACACACACACATTCAATTACTTTTACTTTAAACGAACACATACGTTTGTTCAATGATAATCGGTAATATTTAAATTACTTTTGCCTTGGTAGAACAGTTTAATCAATTATTTCGTGGCGGATACTGTGAATCACATGTTGTATTTTTATACTCCGTACCGTTCAGTTCCGCGTTCACTTTGAATGATTCAAACACAATTAATGTCGATATGTTACAATAAAAATACTTATAAGGTAGTATAAGTAAAGACATTCAATATTAACAATTAAAAACACATTGATAATAATTCGGGTAATGACAAAAAAAAAATATGTAATTAATCAAACTAATGTCTGACATTATCTTCGAAATTTATATCAGATAAGAATATGCAAATTTTTGAACAAATAATAAAAGGTAATTTTTTACAATTTTTTTTTTTTTTTCGTTAAGGTCTATTAATAAATATACGATTAAAATTTTAATCAAAAGTTTTCCATCACAGTTATTAGCTGATATTTGAATTAAAATAATCACTGATTGCTGAATAAAAAAGAACCTCATCAGTTGTTTCAATCGTTTTAAAAAAAGTGTGTGTGTGTGTATATGTGTATGATTTATACAACCTTGGGTTAGTTCTCATTCTGCTTGAAAAGGGAATACTATTTTTGTAAAGGCAGAATGAGGAATTGATTCATAAAAAAAAAGAACCCCAGGATTTAATTGTAACTAATTGAAGTTATATTCTAATATTCGTTATACAACCTTACATCTTCGTTTCTAATTAATTGTAGTCTCTGATTTATACTAATCAATTGAATTAGTTTATAACAATTAAATCAATCGAAACAACTGAATATTACTCAACCAAACGGAATTGAATTAATCGAACGTGGATCAATTGAATCTGAATTAATTTCAATAAATCTGAGCGAACGAATCAAACTGAATTGTAGCTGATGTAAATCCTTTTAAGTTCTGTTCCCCACTAAAAAGCAACTTGCACAACATTGGAGAAGGGGAAAATTCGACTTCTTAACACGTTCGTTACCCAGGCCCGTTTCGGTTGAGTTTCTCGCCAGGCCCAAAATTCGACTGTCAGCGCGCCGTAACGTAAAGAAACGATAAGTAAAAATATCAACAATGTGACCCGATTAATTATAGTTTTATTATATTATTATATTTTATTTATCGAAAATAATCTTAATATATATATATAAATTACGTGTCAAGTTGTTTGTCCGCAATGGACTCCTAAACTATTTAACCGATCTTAATGACATTTTTTTTTATTTTATGTAATTTTTTCCAACTTAAAATATAGGCTAGTCCTTATCGCGATTATTTCTTATTTTTTATTTATATTCTATCTTATATTTTTTATTTTTTATTTATATTTTATCACCCTCTAGTAAAACATAAAACTATCTTTTATTTACCGAAAATAATTTTCTTTCGAAATGGGAAATGTGATAAGTTGTTCCAACTAAAAATACTATAACTTCAAGAAGAAGAGCGTCACCGGTATACGGTGACGGGGTCCCCCAGAGAACCATGCCCGTTACCGATATACGGTGCCATTGCGACGAACGTGTTAACACAATTCAAAAAATAATTCGTTGCAAATACACATTTCTCAATCATTTTTTACGAGTTTTAACGACAGAGAAAGAATGATGGGGACAGGGGAGGAGGGGGGACAAGGGACAGGGGACAGGGGGGTAAAAGATGATAACAAGCATCTCACACTCGTTTCGTAGTATGGGAAGCAGTTGAAGATGCATATCTAAGAAGAACGGACGAATTGAGTTTTGCTACGAGATTAGTTTTACGAGTATGTTATCGAGGTCTCTTGCGTACGCTCAATGAACATTATCGGAACTTTTCCTTACAACTTTTTCTCATGTCTTATAAGGTATCTTGTGCTCCTTCTCTCTCTTTCTCTCTGGTTGTTCTTCTTCTTCTTCTTCTTCTTCTTCTTCATTTTGGTAAAGAAAACTTGGCCGTGATATAAAAACTCGTTTCGAACGGTAGTCGACGTGAAGAGAAAAAGTAAAGAAAAAGAGGGAAAAAGAATGTGAAAGTAACCCCGCGGCATTCTTTCGCAGAAATAAAAAAAGAAGAAGAAGAAGAAAAAAGGGAGAAAGGGAGAAAGAGAAGGAGGASGAGGAGGAGGAGGAAGAGGAAGAGGAAGAGGAGGATGGAAAATATTTAAATCGTGCAAAGAATGAATATTCGATGATTCGATTCCTTTCATAGGTTTGCTAATGAAATTTGAAATAGAAAATATTACTTAATTTTCATCTCACTTTTTGTAAATTAACTTTTGGCAATTTATGGATCTTTTTTTTTTAAATGTCAATCGACACACATTTCGCACACACACACACACACACAGATTTGCAGTTTATTTTACCGTTTCTTTTACCGTTACCATAAACGCACCAATTATGTAGAGACTGTACTTTTATATACTGTTACATGAGTTACATAGATGTAGATTGAAATATGTTGATATCGAATAAATTTGATATATGTGTGAAGGCTTTTAGAATTTAAAATAATTAAAGCAAACAAACAAAAAATAAGTATAATATCGCTAACATCAAAAATTACACTTCGTTAACTTTTGTTAACATTACTTAAACCAAAAACTGCGAGTCATTGGTACTCATACTGTCAATAATTTGAAAAAAAAAAAAAGCAAAATAAAAATCAATTCGAAACCTAAAACTTTGACGTGTAATAAATTAATTATTCTCGAATGAATTCTGATATATATGTAAATTAAATACAAAAATGTTAATCACTATGAAACAATATTTGAATTAGAAAGAAATGAAGAATAAGAATTCGAAATAAATTCAAGTTTGAACCCAAGTATGACACAACACACAACCAATTTAGAATTAATTGGTAAGAAAAAAAATACGAATTTTTTGTCAACCAACCTTCACAAATTTCAATTAAACATAAGATCACATTGACCAATTGTCAACTCTTAAAAATCAATGATAACTTGAACTATCTCGTTGAACGTGTTACGAACGAATGAGTCATTGAACAGTCCAAGCAATATTTTATAGACTGACTTCAGCTGAGATCACTCGAACCATTCATATCTCAAACATTTATTATACGATTCTCTTTTTGTAGGAATAATTATTGTTATAAGAGAAAAGCAACAAAGATTTCATTGAAAATATTTCCAACTACTTTTTATAGGTAGTTTAATTTTTATCAACACTTGTCATTTAACTCAGATATATATTTTTGATTTAAAAATAAATTATTATATAAATAATTATTTTATTATTATTGTTATTATTATTATTTTATAAATTATTATAAAAATAATAAAGTAAATTAATAGTACGATATTTTGTATATATATATATCGTATTATTTCTTATCAACCAACCTGAGATTGATCGTATTCTTTAAAAGTTTAACACTTCGTTTTTCTTTACTACACTGTCTCGTCGTTAGAGTAACTTATCTACTGAAAATAATATGGACAGTTTTTCATTCTTTATTTATACCCTCTTACCAATTCCACCAAAAGGTAAGATAACAGGCGGCGCTGTTAGCAACATTGTTAGTAACTATTGCTTCAAATCTTTGACATTTGATTGAATCTGCTTGTTCATTTAGATAAAGGTAATAATCATATATTTCTTAATTACTTTTTATTCACATACCACATTTTCTCTCTTTATATATATATATATATATATATATATATATATATATATATGATGGTAAGAAAAAAAATAACAAGATAAGATGAATTTTTCTTTTCTTTTTTTTCTTTTCTTTTTTGATTGAAGCCATTTACGTTTAGAATTATATATATATATAATTTTATTTAATTATTTATTTATTTATATTTAATTATAATATTATCTAATTTAATTATAATTATTATTTATCTATATATATATATATATACACAATTATTCAATATACGATAAAACATATATAAAATTGAATTGTCCTTTATTGACCATAGTTTTTTCTTCTTCATTGACACGTATTAACCCATATTATATTTCCCCACACGCAAATATCATTTTTATATTACTTTTCATTCATTTGACTTACAGTTTATTGTGTGTGTGTATATATATATATATATACAGGATGATTCTTGGAACGGAGATAGGTAATAAAAAATTAACACAAATACATTAAACATGACAATTATTATATTTTTTTGCTACACCTGTCTTATGCAAATTTCAATTTTTTTTTCCTGTTTTTCTTTTTGATAAAGATGACGTATTAAAGCATCCACGTGTCAGTGTGGGATTTCTACATTGTAGAAACATTGTTCAAAAGTTTCTGACTAGTTTTAGTAAAACGTTAACAACACTGACATGTTCTCCTGTTTCTACGAAAATACCTGGCGCGAGATGAAAATATGAGATAAATAAACATTACATTTTTATATTTTTATCTAATGATGATTTTTAATCAAATTCATGGAAACATCGTAGTTCATTAAAAACACTTCTTTTATTCTTAATGTCATTTTATCACGTTTATTATCGTTCAATCTTAATCGAATAGATTAAACTTATCGATTTGCAACGATGAGATGTAATTTTTTTTTATTGATTACAACACTATCTTACAATATATAAGTCTTAATTAAGTGTCACTTGAAAAATAAAATTCTAGTTAAGAGTTATTTTATAAATTGGGTATCAAAACCTTTTATAAATTTTCCACATACATACATACATACGTAGACCACACTCACATATATATATATATATATATATGTATATATGTATATACTTATATGATTTAACCACTTCCGAAAGATGATATTTACTTTATTGGAGAATAAAAGGGACTTTAAAACATACGCTAGGAACGTTATATCGTATTACCCACGGTTATATTGAATGCATTACATAATTTGTTAAGTTACATGGCCTCTTACGTCTATTCAAGTTGACAAAAGTCAATTAAAGACTATCATAAAATTTCTTTAACATTTAATAATGTAGAAATGTCATATAAAATAATTAATAACAATTATTGTTTCAATCATACAGTGGTATAACAAATTTTGCAATTTTTTACTACAAAATTTAATAAAAAAAAATGAAATATTTTAAGAAAATATTTCATAAACGTCATTCAAGGAGATTTTAATAGCTTTTCTTATCTTAATTGAAGAATTATCTTAGAAAATGATTAGTAAATATTGTGCATTAGAACATAAAATAGATTTCAAAATTAAAATATCATTTATTTCAATTTAGCTATTAAATATTTTTAATATTACCAATCAATCACCATTCATTTGAATCAAGGACATTGATTTATAATATTTTTTTTTTTCTGAATCATTTCAATTGATTAGAGATGAACAAACCTTTTTTTTCGTTCTTCCGTGTATTTATGTATGTATGTGTTTGTACAAATTAATACGTAAGTTTTTAAATGAACAATAATTTATTCTTTGTTTTTTTTTTTCTTTCTCATGCACTTTTTGTCCAAGATATAATTACTTTATTATGTTTCGTAGAAGATGATAGAAAAAAAGGTATCTCGTAACAAATTACGCAATGACTAGTAAAAATGTTATCTCATCATAAATTACGCAATCATAAGTAATATACAACAGTATCATGCAGTTTATCTAGCATTGTAAACATTTTTCTAAATCATGAAAATGAGATACTATTTGATTGGTTAAACATACTTTACCTTATCTTTAAGTGAAATGGAAAAAACTGATAAGAAATGATTTACATCGATATAATTAATATATGTATAATAAAAGATAAAATATAAAAAAGCAGTTCATTGACTCGAATGAATGGTATCGATTCATAATATTCAATAAAACATAGAACACCAATATTCAAAGATCATTGTACGCTTTGCATTTATAAATAGAAAAAGATAGTTAAAGTAAGACTTGCGTAATAAAACGTGAACATGTGTGTGGTGTGTGTGTGTGTAGTATATTCTCAACATAATCTCGACACAATCTATTTAATATCCATTATAATCCCCATATATGACATAACAATAGTATTGCGAACGATTTTCTGGCTAATACGAGTAACACTCGACGAGTTTATGAGCGAACCACCGTGTGTGGCTGCGGTTTTATAATGTAATGCGACCAATTTATTATGCATATAAATAGACTCTTATAATACGACATATATCTAATAGTTGAAATCTTGAAACAATTAAATTACGTAACAAATTAATTTTCTCGTAGATCAAATGTTCTCAAAAACCATAATAAAAAAGTCAATGTTAAAATCTTGTAGGAATGAATGAACAGATGTTTCATCAAAAAATAAAGTACCCATTTTGATTGATCCAAAAATCATAGGAAAAATAAGATGTCGACAATTTCGTAAAAATTTGCTTAAGCGTTTGAACTCCTAAAGTGTTCAGATATCAATATATAAGTTCTGTTAAAGTCCATCCTTATCGTCATAGTCGTTGTCATAGTCGTAGTCATAGTCGTATTGCAATTGTCGTGGACGATTGCGAGCACTCAAGTTGAATGCAGTCGTTACGTTTCTACCCTTCGTGGAAACTCGTCCCACGTCTACCATCCCCGATTGTCCTTTATATCCAGAAGACTCAATACTCTCATCCTCTCACTCCCCACACGTTGCTCTCTTTACCCTCATCCTCGAGTATTCTTTCTAAGAGAAAAAGGGAAAGATCTCACCCCCCACCACCACAATTCCATTCGTTCGTCGTTCGAGACAATTGTAGTATGGGCAAAAGAAAGAGTAAAGTAAAGAGGGCTAAGAGGTGTAGTTGTAGGACGAGACACCACCCTTATTACAACCTTCCTCTCCTAAAAACGTTTTATCGAGTGCAGTAAGTGATTCAAAATTATTGATTTAATTATTGTCTTGTTTGTTAAACATTTCTTTTTTTTATATATATATTTTATTCTAATTTGCATATTTGTATTGCGTAATATTATCTAAAATATAAATCGAAAGATTGAAAATAAAATAAAGTATATGAAAAAAAGAACACAAAAAAAAAAAACAATTTGATTACTTTACCAAGATTATCTTGAAAATTTTCCAAATGATCGTCTATGGGTAGAAGAGGGATGAAGGGTAAAGGGTAGTGGTGGTGGTGATGGTACTCTCTTGGAGTATATGCTTTCTATAAAGAACTTGGAGCTCATTGTCGTTATCGTTGCTGCACCCTCTTGCTGCAGGAAGTTAATCCAATCACCCAGTACGTCCGATCCTAGTATCCCTGCACAAAACTATACTACTACACAGAGTTGGTTGGTAGAATCTAAAGAAGAGGGAAAAAGAAGAAAAAGAAAATAAAAAAAACCTCAGAGAAAAAGAGAAGACGCTTTTTCGAAGTCAGTCAATTTCTCGTAGGATTCTTGCAATTTCCGTTATCTTTTCCCACAGAAAACGTATCTCCCAGGAGAATATCGCGATTCGATGATAATCTTCGTCCTAGTTGTCCGTGGTATTCGTCGTAAAGAGCGTGCCGTCGCCTCTATCCGAATAAAAGGAACGGAGGGAGTGTTGATAAAAGAAACGAGAGAAATTCTTTCTCACGATCACGATCACGAGTTTGCTTAGATTTACATGCTCTCCATTTGGTTATTTTTTTTTTCTTCTTCTTTTTAACACCAGTAGCCACATCACTTGCTGACAACCTGCCGCCACCACCACTACCATTACTAATACTTCGTCGTCATGGTAACGTTGCAAACCTGAAGAAAGAAAAAAAGTGAAAAATCAAGTAGGATCTCTTTTTCTTTCCTAACCCTCCTCCTACCAAGCACCTCTTCATTCTTCCCCATTCTCCACCACACCCCACCCCATCCCACCCCACCCGTTGATCACATCCATCTTAGGAAATTCTTTCCACTCGAGAATTCGATCCTCTTCCCATATATATACGTCATCATTACGTTCTTCAGCCTATCCCCTTGGATCGTGCAATTAAATTCTCGCGGAAAGTTCGTCGTTCGTTCGTTCGTTCGTTCATTCGTTCGTTCATTCGTTCATTCGTTCGTTGTTCCCATCGTCTTCCTCTTGAAAAAAAAAGTGTGCCATTCTCGAAGCGCGTTTGATTTTGAACGATCGACAAAATCCTTCTGTTGAGAATCTTTTCTAAAATTCTTCGTTACCCT